GAGGAAGGTCGCCAAAGAGAGGAGGAAGCTCCGGAAGAAGGAGCAGCGGCAGCGGCGACAGCAGCGGCGCAAGGAGAAGCGCGCTGCGGCAATGCTCCTCGCCCCAAAATCTTCGGCTGTAGTTATCACACTACAGCCGGACGCGGCGAAAAAGGAGGTGACGTATGGCGAGGTCCTCGCCAAATTGAAGGGGGCGGTAACTCCAGCGGAGTTTGGGGCACCCGACGGGTTCGCAGTGAGGGTCACTGCCACTGGAGCCCGTCTCTTGGAGGTCCCCGGCGCGGCCAGCGGCCCGTCCGCTGACGCCCTTGCCGAGAGGCTCAGGGCGTGCATTGCGGCGGACGAAGCTCGCGTGTCCAGGCCCACCAAATGCCTGGAGCTACGCATCATGGGCCTGGACGACTCCGTGACGGAGAATGAGGTGGCGGCCGCTGTCGCCAGGACGGGGGGGTGCCCTGCTGACCAGGTCAAGGCAGGCACTATCCGCCCGGACAATACGGGGCTGCGGACTGTGGTAGTCAGCTGCCCCGTCACAGCGGCCAAAAAGCTGGCAGAGGGCAAAAGGCTCCTGGTGGGCTGGGTTTCGGCGCAGGTGAAGCTGCTGGAACCCCGACCTTTGAGGTGCTTCCGCTGCCTCATTGGCCATCATGTGGGTGCCAAATGCACCTCAGAGGTGGACCGCAGCGACCGCTGCTTCCGCTGCGGTCAGCCCGGTCACAGGGCCGGCGCTTGTACCGCCCCGCCGCACTGCGTAGTATGTGCGGCGGCTGGCAAGCCGGCCGATCACCGGGCTGGGGGCAAAACCTGCTCCCCCCCCACCAAGCCCAGGAGCAAAGGTAGGCCCTTAGCCACCTCCACCGCTCCCACCGTCGCTCCCGCTGCCGCCGCAGTCGCCAACACCCCTGCGACTGCTGCTGTCGCCGCTGCCGTCAGAGAGGAGGTCGTGATGGATACCCAATAATGGCTCCATTACGCCTCCTCCAGGCGAACATCAACCACTGCGTCGCTGCTCAGGATCTCCTGCTCCAGAGCATGGCGCAGTGGTCTATCAATGTTGCTGTGGTCTCCGAGCCGTACTTCGTTCCAGCCAGGGAACACTGGGTGTCAGACCTGGACGGCTCGGTGACCATCATCTCGTCGGCCGCCGCCGGTACCCCAACCCCCGAAGGGCCTCAGCGAGGCAGGGGTTGCGTCGCGGCTCGGTTCGGAGAGATCGCCGTGGTGGGCGTGTACTTCTCTCCGAACCGAACTCTCGTCGAGTTCCACAACTCCCTCAGGGAGTTAGTCACCGTCGTCGTCGGGTTCCGTCCCCTCCCCGTGTTGGTCCTCGGGGACTTCAATGCCAAGAATTTGGCTTGGGGTTCCCGGCTCACTGATGTCCGGGGAAGGATGGTCGAAGACTGGCCTCTGGAGACAGGCCTAGTCGTGCTGAACCGGGGTTCTGTCCCCACGTGCGTACGGATGCGGGGCGAGTCAGTGGTGGACATTTCGTTTGCTAGCCCCGCTCTGTCATCGCGCGTTGTTGACTGGCGCGTCATGGAGGAGGTGGAGACGTTTTCGGACCACCGGTATATACGGTTCGACGTCTCCGCCGAGTCCGCAGACCCGCCAGTCAGACAGGCCCCGTGTGGCCCGCGTTGGGCGCTTAGGCAACTGGACCGGGAGCTTTTCCTGGAAGCCGCAGTCGTGCAGGCCTGGGTGATACCACCGGTCAGGCCAGCCGACATTAACGAGGAGGCGAGATGGCTCCAGGACGCCATGTCAAGGATGTGCGACGTGGCGATGCCCCGGATCCGACCGTGCCAACGCAAGCGCCAGGTGTATTGGTGGTCGCAGGAATTGGCAGACCTGCGCGGTGAGTGTACCGCAGCGCGACGCCGATACACCAGGCACCGCAGGCTCCGTCTCCGCCCTCTGGACGCTGAAACCAGAGAGGCGGAGCTATACGAGGAGTACAGGGCGGCGAAGGCCACCCTCAGGGTGGAGATCCGGCGGGCCAAAGATCGGGCCCGCGAGGAGATGTTGGAGACTCTGAACAGAGACCCGTGGGGACGCCCCTACCGGATGGTGCGTGATAAGCTCCGCACCTGGGCGCCCCCACTGACTCAGAGTCTCCGGCCGGAGGTCGTGGACGAAGTGGTTGGGGCGCTATTCCCCCGACCACAGATGGGTTACACGCCTCCGGCTATGCCCCCGCCCCCTGCGGTGCCCAATGCGGGCTACATCGACGACGACGACGAATCCGCTCCGGAAGTGACCGAGGTAGATTTGAGAGTGGCGGTGCGCCGGCTGAGCAGCAAGAATACCGCCCCAGGACCTGACGGGCTGCATGCCAAGGTCTGGGTCCTGGCCTCGGAGGCTCTCAGGCCTCGACTACTTGGTCTGTTCAGCGCATGTTTGGAGAGAGGCCAGTCCTCGTGAAGAAGCCGGGGCGTCCTGCGGACTCCCCGTCCGCGTACCGGCCCATTGTGCTACTCGACGAGGTGGGAAAGCTGTTCGAGAGGATAATCTCAGACCGCCTCGTCGGGCACCTGTCTGGAAGGGGGCCGGATTTAGCGGACGGCCAGTTCGGCTTCCGCAGAGGGCGCTCCACGGTGGACGCCATCATGCGCGTGAGGGACCTCACGACGGGGACAGCGTTGGCCGGGAGGCGAGTCGTCGTGGCGGTGTCTCTGGACATCGCCAACGCCTTTAACTCGCTGCCCTGGAGCTGCATTTTGGAGGCACTCCGGTACCACCGGGTGCCTGCCTATCTCCGTCGTGTAGTCGAGGCTTACTTGACGGACAGATGTGTCATCTACCCCGGTCACCGGGGCGTGTGGAATCGGCGAGAGGTGTCGCGCGGTGTCCCACAGGGATCGGTCCTGGGACCTCTCCTGTGGAACATCGGGTACGATTGGGTGCTACGCACCGACCTCCCGAGCGGCGTCAGCATTGTCTGCTATGCTGACGACACGCTGGTGCTGGCGAACGGGAGGTCGCATCAGGCGGCGGCCGACCTGATGTCACAAGCGGTTGCGACAGTCGTTGCAAGGATCCGGCAGTTGGGACTCGAGGTGGCGCTCCACAAGTCCGAGGCCATGTGCTTCTATGGCCGTCGGAGCGCGCCACCTCCAGGTGGGTCCCAAGTAACGGCAGGAGGAGTTACCATCGGCGTCGAGTCGGCGATGAAGTACCTGGGTCTCGTCCTCGACAGCCGATGGAACTTCACGGAGCATTTTCGTCGTTTGGCCCCTAAGTTGGAACGGTCTGGGGCCGCGCTCAAGCGGCTCCTTCCCAACCTCGGGGGGCCAAACGCCTCCTGCCGGAGGTTGCATATGGGGATTGTGCGATCCATGGCCCTCTACGGTGCCCCTGTGTGGGCGCCGGACTTGAAGCGGCGGCCGGCTCGTACGCTGGTCGCGTCCCAGAGGGTCATGGCTATACGAGTAATCCGCGGGTATCGCACGATCTCCGGGGAGGCGGCGAACCTCCTTGCCGGATCACCGCCGTGGGATCTAGAAGCGAAGGCGCTCGCGCGCGTCTACAGTTTGCGCGCAGACGCGCGTAGCCGGGGCGAAGATCCTTTGCCGCGCCAAATAAGTGCGTGGCGGAATGAGCTCCGGCGAGATGTCATGGCAGAGTGGAGACAGCGACTGTCGCAACCGAGGGCCGGGCACGCTACCATAGCAGCGGTAAGACCCCTCTTTGAGGAGTGGCTTGAGAGACGCCACGGCGTCCTCACCTTCCGTCTGACGCAGGTGCTTACCGGGCACGGCAACTTCGGTAGGTTCCTGTTTCGGATTCAGCGGGAGGAAACGCCCGAGTGTCGTCATTGTGAGGACCACCTAGAGGATACGGTGGAGCATACGGTAGCGGTATGCCCTGCCTGGGCTGAGCACCGCCGTATCCTCAGGGAAGTGATCGGCGGCGGCGACCTCTCGCGCCCGGCCTTAGTCGAGGCCATGGTGCGGAGTGAGAGGAACTGGGACGCCGTCTCCTCCTTTTGTGAAGCAGTCATGCTCGCAAAGAGAGAGGCGGCCCGCGTGAGGGAGCAATCCTCCTCCTCACGCCCCAGCAGCCGCAACTGGCGACACTACGGGCGTCGGGGATCGAGGGACGATCTCCGGCCACCGTAAGTACGGGCCTGCGGTCGGCGAGTAAGGGCAGCTCGCCGCCCGACCAGAACCAGGCCCGAGCGTACGGCGCGTAGCGTTCCGCGCGCGCCTCAAAGAGCCATTCGACCACCACAGACGGGGCCCTAAAGGGCTGATGTTCAGCCGGGGTTGCGGGGTAAGCGCAATAAGGTACCGCGACCTCGGCACAGAGCAGGAGAAGGAACAGGGGGGTTTTTAGTCAGTAAGAGTCTGACACTCCCTCCTGCCCGGCCCTGGGCGGGAGAAGTCATTTGATGATTTTCCCCTCACAAAAAAAAAAAAAAAAAAAAAAACGTAGGTACCTTATACTTGAAAGCTACCTTAATTCACTTAGTATCAATTCCGTTTTGCATTCCAAATTACACATAATTGGATGTAATTTTAATTGTTTTTGTAATCACAACAATAATATTAATGTTGTTTTGCAAAGTGTCAAACCTCATATCAAAGTGACCTTACGGTTGTCGGGAAATGTCAACGTCAGTTGTCATTTCAGATTATCATTTACTAAATCGTAAATAAAATCAATATACTATTTAATATAATATTATTTTAAGTGTGGGAGAGCCATGTTTAGTTTATTTTAAAAAAGGAACGTGACGGAACGGAACGTCAATCTATGACATGAGCAGTCATCGCTTGGTATCAATGTAGTTTAGTTAGTTAGTATCAATCTATGACTAGTTTATAGTTATCTGTGGGTATAGACGGCCGCAAGCGCAACTCTCCTTTCGTATTGGAATCCATCTGAATCACATTAGAGTTATTATATTTCACGTAAATTACTAAGTTAATCGATTAAAGTGGTTGTTTGTGATCAATCTGCGAATTTATTCTGAAGAAACATCACCCACACTACTCAAAATGGCGGACGAAGATGAACAAAACTCTTCGACGTCCCTGTTGGCCCCGATTCATGCAGGTAAATATTTAAATCATCATCATCAGCATGAAACAATGAAGCAATGAATTTATTTTTGCAAACAAGCCACAAAACGGCACTTTTACACGTCAAATTAGATGTAAAAAACATATTAAGCCGGCTTTTTCTATCTAATTACTCTGATAAGAAATGCCGAAACAAACTCAAAGGTCCGTCTCCTTACAAGTCCAGTCAATGTAAAAATGTTGAACTACTTATTAAATTTACAGCCTTTCAGTTTTATTTTCTATTTTGTGTATCTCAACTTTATTCATTTGTTCTGAAAATTAAACGCGCTATGATTCTGTGGTAAACGAGCGTAGTTTAATTGCTTACAAATTCCTGTAAATAATTATAAAGTCATCAGGTTATGGGCCCAGTAAAGCCAAAGTCATAAAGAAGTGATTGCGAAGTTCAGTAAAATAATAAATAAGTGCAAATTACAAACAATTTGTGCCAGTGAAGTGGTAGTAAATATGTATAACCTCAAAGCCACGTGGTTCGTTTTTTGCAAATCGCAGACAATACCAGTAAACATGGCTAGTAGCAATCCTCTGGTAATAACAGAAAAATTTACAGGCCGGGAAAACTACAACACCTGGCGGTTTGCTGTAAAACATACCTTCAACACGAAGAACTTTGGGAATGTATTGGAAATGTATTGGGAATGTAACTGTGAAAAAAATAGACACAGATTTACATAGACATATACTTTTTCGGGTTTTGCAAGTAAGTGAGTAAATAAATAATAATACCTGCAGGGGGTCCACCAGATCCAGCAAAATGTTGAAAGTGGTAAGTCTATGAGAAAAAAAGTTTGGGAACCTCTGGTCTAGAGCTGTCTGATTTCACAAAACTGAGATCACTCTCCGCAAATGACGCATACGCATACGCATGAAATCAGCTGTTCAATTTCTACCTAGCTAGAGTCGTTTGAACTCACCGCTCCGCGGTCACCGCGCCGATCGCCGCGCCGTAGGTATACCTACGATCCCGTCCAACGTACAGAATAGCTGCGTTCCTTTCTGTCGCCGATTTTTTGCACAATGTTTACCAGTGTTGCCAACTTTTAACTTTTGTTACCTCAGGTAGTAAACGAAAATGTAGAACTCCTTTGCATTCATAATTACATTGATGAGATTTTCATTAATCAATTAATGAAAATCTTGTCGCGCACATAAATTGAATAAAAAATAAATAAAGATTAGTCTAGTTTTAATTTTAAAGCATTTACAAATACTACCCAATGTATTAATTGATTGTTCTTTTCAAGCGATTACTGGCTAGTTTTTAAACTGAGCGCGCGCGCAAGACTGAAATGAAAAATTCAACTAAAAATTCATAAATAATTTTAAACTAATTATGAATAATATCATAATTAAGTTACCTTTTAGTACATAAGTTAGTTACGTTTAGTGCTTGATGGTTTTTTTTATTTAGTTGCAATTCAATAAATTACTTAGTAAGTAAGCCTTAGTACGAAGGATTTTAATTTATTAATTTATTGAATTAAGTATATTTAAATACGTGCAAAAAATAAAAAATAAAAACGATCAGGTCATAATTTTATAATTGATTAAATATAATAATAAATAATAAATAATAATAAATGTTTATTTGTTATAAAAAGGTGCCTGATTACTTTAATTTAGAACAGGTTTGAATGATTTGTTAAAGGATTTTTTATTTCACTTTTCAGTTTAAGTTGTTAAAATTATTTTTCAAATTAAAAATTTTAATAATAGTAAATGTTAATTAGAAGGTATCTAATACTTAATAAATGTTGATTTCGTATTTCATGTACATACAGGGTGCAAAAAGACACTTAACGAAGCCGAAAGCCACGTATTCTACCCATTATTTTTTTTTTTTTTTGGTGTCGGGTTGGAAAATCCTCATGGAGACCCATCGCCCTTGGGGAAGGGCGAAGGGTACTGTCAGACTCTTACTGACTAAAAACCAACCCGGTGTTCCTCCAATAACCCATGCGTCGGAGAGGCGGGTATCGCCGAAGCATTCGTCGCAACCCCCCGACGGGTGTTGGCCCGCCAGATGGTAAGGCGGGCCCCGTCACCCACTGCGACCGTCACCCCGACCGCAGGACTCCACTATGAGGCGCGCGCGGAACACGGCGCCGCCGCCTCGAGGCCTGTTGCTGGTCGGACGACAAGACGCCCCGAGTCTGTCGTCCACAGGCCGCGCCCTACGGTGGCCGCAGGTCGGCCACCCTTCGACGTCTAGTGCGTCTGCTGCGGGAGGGGAGAGAGGAGGCAGCCTCTCTCTCCCTTTCCGCCGCCTCCTTTGCGAGCATCACGGCCTCGCAGAAGGTAACGACGGTAGGTACTCCACCCTGACTCGCTCCCGACCATAGTAGACACTACAGCCGGAAGCGAGAGATTTCCCGCAGCACCTACGGCCGCGACCAGGTCACGGCGCTGCTCGGCCCAAGCTGGGCACTCCGCCAAGGTATGCAGCGCCGTATCGTCGTGGCACTGAGACGTCGGCTCCCGACCTATGCGACACAGGTACTTCCCGAAACACCCGTGTCCGGTAAGCACCTGCGTCAGCCGGAAGCTGAGGGCGCCGTGGCTCCTATTGAGCCACTCCTCTAGAACGGGCCTTACCGCCTCTATAGCGGCGTGCCCCGCCGTGGGTTGCGCTAAGCGCGTCTGTCACTCCGCCACTAAGGCCTGGCGGAGTTCCGCCCTGCGTGCCTCAACCTGTCGAGGCACCAGGCGCTCGCCCCGCTCGACTGCCTCCGCGCGCCACCAATAGAGCGACGCGAGGAGTTTTGCGTCGAGGTCCCAGGGCGGGGATCCGGCATTCTACCCATTATTTGGATCATTTTTTTCTTTAAGACCATAGCTGGGACTCCACGGGTTCTCGAGATATTGAAGGTCAAAGATGCATTTTTATTTTTTATTTTTTTGCGCAATCGAATTCTAAGTATTATTACAAAACTTTTTTCCAAACAAACATTATCTGAATTTTTGTAATAAATAAATGCAGACCCGCACAAAAAACATCGTGCATCTCAGTAGGATTTTTATTTTACAGGATTGTTTTGTTGTTGCGAAGTAAAACGTCGACCTACGTACTTATCACAGCGTTTTAATGCTAAGCTGTGAACCTACGCACACAATGACACGAAGCCCGTTTGCTTTACATTACGCGCAATAAAATTATTATTTTTGATATCTAAAAATAAAAGTCGTTTCCTAGTGATAATTTTAGCGTAAAGCTACTTAGTTAGAACTGCAGTATGCGTAGTTAACGGCTTCGTTAAGTGTTTTTTCACGCCCTGTATAGTTTTATTTTATTTATTTGAATCGACCATTATTGGGTATTAGTATAATAATAATTGAGTTCCTTCTAATTCTAAGAGTAACAGGATTGTTTATTGGTCAGAATTCAATTGATCTATGATTATAAATGGTTTTTAATACAAAAAAAAACTACATAAATGGGTTTTTACGACAGTAAATGTGCCCATAAGCTTACTGAAAATGGATATACAACCTATACGGTTTTTAAGTACATTTTCATGGGGTGTATTAACCAAGATTTGATTTTTACTTAGACGTAAATCCAAGCTAACTTTAAAACTAAAGAAGATATCTGGTCGCTGCGCGCCAAATACGCACCTTGTGTGTTGTTCGTAAAGTTCTTCTTGCAATGAACATGGTTTATACACCAACGTCGCGAATTGCCTTTGGATTTACGACGTCGAATTTAAACTATATTTAAGTACTTAATGCATTTAACACATTAGGGCGTATAAACCATTCACAATTAACGACTATTTTACGCTCTGAGATAATAGGTATAAATTATGGTCATAACATCACAACAAAACTACAAAAACTGACATTTGGCTTTTACATTGAAATTTTACTTTTTTTAAGAGAACACGTCCGATTTTTTTTTAAACGTATTAAACATTTTCGTGCGAATTTCTGCATTTCGTATATACAGATCGATAGAGAAAAAAAACTTAGAAAAATGGTATATATAACTCAATTTGGCCAAAATGGTTTATACGACCTTTCTACCCAAAGGTATCGAAATGAAAGAAATTTTAAATTATGTGTAAAGAAAACTTTGTGTAAAAAAGCATATTACAAACTGAGTAATTATATCAAGAATAAGGATGCTTGGAGACACGCTGGTCCTGCTCCACAGGATAGTATACCTACACGAAAATAAATAATGTCCCAGTGGATTTTTGCTTGAGCAGAACTTCTTAAGTATAGAACTCTGAACATCGGTCTGTGATGGTCTATAGCCTCTTCGAGGCGCGCTGGTTGCTACACTCGGCGAGCTACCCTTAATTACATGTCTGCTAACACTAAATTTTATTCTACAGGGACAGGCAGTGTGAGCTCCCATCCCTCTAGAGACTCGAGGGAGCCTGGCGACCCGACAACTGCCACCTCTATACTATCCTGGTAAGAATCATGATCACATGATCGGTATCAGTATGATTAAACAATTTTGGATTGTGTCTGCACTTGTGCTAGTCCCCACTAATCAGATTTGAATACTCCCATGGACCATTTCCAGCATTTATATAAATATTTCTTATATCAGGTGAACAACATCTTTTAGCTGAGCGGTTTATATTTATGTTTTTTTTTTCATAGGTCGGCAAACGAGCTGACGGATTACCTGATGGTAAGCAATCAGCGCCGCCCATGGACACTCGCAATGGAGGAGTTACGAGTGCGTTGCTGCGTTGTGCGGATTAGGGATTTGGAGATTTAGGGATTGGGGGAGGGAAAGGATTAGGCCTCCGGCCTCTATATTATGTTTTAGCGATAAGCGATTAGTACTGATAGAGTTGAATGCATTGCCGGCCGTTTTAAAAGATTACTACTACTACATTCTTATCTTGAAGTTTCTTCAAGATGTTATGCGGTTGTTGCAAAAATCATCACACATATCACTAAACAGTATTTTTGAGACAAAACTAAATGTTTTAGTCAAATTTAGACGACTGACCGCCTTTATCACATCGTCATGAAGTCAGAAATGAACCTCACGACGCGAGGTCAAGTTAAGGCGAGGTTACAATTACACAAATAGAAATCTCCTTTACTTTACATCATGATCTAAGATCCGGTATAAACGGACCTTTACCGAGACGTTTATTTGATGAAATATATTTTATATTCAATTTAACTTATCAATAATAATATTATATATGGCTGCTACCCACCCGCGACGCCGGCCGTGCGGACTTCAGTTTACAGCCCGTGGTGGTTCCCGTTTCCATGGGAATACCAAGATAAATGCCTACATTACTGCAAGGGTCCTCAAAATCCATTCAGAGCAACAAACATTCAAACGTAGTAAAGGCTTTCAGAGGGAACTGTATTCCATTAAATACAAATGGCAAATCAGTCGGGATGATACGGGGAATCAAGACACTTTGCCCTTTTGCCATTCCAGTTATGATAAGCCAGAAGTTGCCTTTGCGATGGTGAGACCTGAACCTTGAGTACCATTACACAGCTTTGGACTATCAAGATTCCTTATGAATAGGACTGGAACACAAACTTTTGGTGTCAACTCCTGATGATTCTAAAAAGTTGAGAAATTCAATAGGGTATTATGTAACTTGTTCAGTGTGTAGAATATTGTCTACTGAGAGGTATTTAACAACATTTCCCGGAACGTTTATCTATTTATTTTACTAACTATTTTATCAGTATTTGGGATAGCCATATTTGTTTGAAGATCCAGACTTTGCTCCAACCTTTAAGCATTTCTAAGAGCTGCGTGGCGGACAGCATCTGGTTCTCACCGTGCTTGCAGCTCTTTGAGTATTTAAGGAACGGAGAGTTTCTATTCAGTAAAAGTCTGAAACTCACTCTCGCCTCACCGAAAGAAGAGATTGGATGATATTCCCCTCACAAAAATAAAAATTGCAGAAAAGCAAGGGTCATGGTAGGTAGTCGAGGGTATTCCACAGAAAATGTCATCTACACGCACAAAAGTGGACGACTAAATGACATCCTCTAAAAGGCTAATTTTATCTTTGATTGGTCATTATGTTATAGCTATTTATTTTTATATCAATTCATTTCTTAGATCCCAAAAATAAGCGACAACGTAACCACGTACAAATTATAATTAAGACTAGTATTGTGTACATGTCTTTTACCATTTTTCAAATGTTTGAGTCAGCGGAGGCCGATAGCAAACATACGGTTAAGAGTCCAAATTTCAAAGCCATAGTCCACTTGAAAGTCATAGAAACAAAAATAAAAAAGATTTTACTTGATATACATATAATAAGCGCCTGGCAAAATAATGGGACCAATATACATTTCCCGTTTTCACAACAATTCCAATCCGTGTACCAATTTTTATTACAAGCGGTTTAGCAGTTTTGTCGTAAAAGCCGGATAGACAGACGGACAGAGACTAATAGTATTAATGATAATAAGTATTAGTATGGAAATATGGATTTTGAAAAAAACCGGTTTCGTTTTAACGTATTTAACTAACTTTGAAACGTTCACGTTCCATATTTACAACATGAAATTATACGGAAACGCGAAAATAATTATTAAATACCTTGGTAGGATTTTTTGTGAGGCGAAAATCATTAAATGCCTTCTCTCGCCCAGGGTCAGGCGGGAGGGAGTATCAGACTCTTACTGACTAAACACCCACCCTTTATCTATCAAAATGTTGCTGTCAATTTAGTTCAACTCGCAAATGTAGCGCTAGTGTACTACTACTCACAGCGGATTCAGATTCGAAGTTTAGAATAAAGTCTTACAGAATCTCACTGCTGGCGTGAGCGTGGAAGTCGGGAAGACTTTGGCAAAGCTCGATCCCTAACTTCAACGCTAAATAAGTGCAATTAATTGTTGTTGAATTAGCAAGCCAAAATTCAGATCCCATCAGTTTGTGAATACTTATTTCCTGACAAAATATTCAGAAGCCTTATTTAAAATTCCTGAGCCAGATTCTGCTTTAGAAGCCTGAAAAATATTTCTCATATGTGCCTCTTCGTGTTAACATTTATAATTAGTTTCTAAGTTTTGATTCCGATGTTTTCAAACAGAAACCGTTTTTTTCGGAACGACTGCTTGGGACCTCTCAGTCGTATATATTCACTCGCGGCAATATTTTACATTTTAAAATTTGACAACCGTAGGTAATTCATACTATTTTTTCGCAGGCAATCCTTTTTCACCGCGTTCATCATTAAATAATCTTAATTTTCATTTAAAATTGAATTAATTATCAGACCAGTGCAAAATGCTACTATTTGCATTGCGGTCGACATAAGTATATACTATCGATTTACTTGTTTATACCTGGCATCCCGAGAGGACTGGAGAAGAACGGACAACCTAACGTTAGCATGTTCTATGGGGTTCATATTTTCGATTGGAATGGAATTTGTCTAATATGTAAATATGTAGTTCCTACAGTAACCAATTATTACGGCGATAGGTCCTTGAGGAAATGGATGCCATATATTTTAAACAGTTTGCCCGAGTTCATTAAAAATGAGCCGTTAGCCGTTAAATGAGCAGTTAATTTTTTTTTTTTTTTGTAAATCCTATCTGCTGGAAAGGCTCCCTTAATTGGTTATAGATTATTTTTACAGAATACTCTTAATTTAAGTTGTTTAGTTAAGTGCAATTATAGTGATTCCACAGTCAAACTGTGAATACAGTTTTGTGGGACTATTTATATTTCATAAGTCCAATGTAATGTGTTTAATAAAAAAATAAAATAATAATAATCAAACCGGTGAAAAATACCAGTAAATATGTAATTATTGAAATTATTGATAAATGAAATTGAATATAAAATATGTTTCATCAAATAAACATCTCGGTGAAGGTGGTTTCATAACGGAATCCTATACTATCACATTATTTCTAGTTAGAGGTAAATTATTATCATTGTATTGTAAATATATTTTCAGGTTGATAAGACACAAAAGGAAGTTAATCATTAGTGTCATATTTGTGCTGTTAATGATAGTATCCAGTATGACATCTATTATACTATGTAAGTATTTTAAAATCTTCTAGTAAATCTCTTTACTTTTCCTGTTAGTGCCATATTCTTGTTAACCATGATTCAAATCTATAATCTATACTTAATATTATAAAGAGGTAAAATTTGTAAGTTTGTATGTAGGGGAATGTTCTTTAGAACCGCTGGTCAGATTGCTAAAATTCTTTCACTGATAGAAAGCCACAGTGTTTGTGAGTGCTACAGGCTATAAAACATTATGCTACGATCAAATGGAGCCGAGCAGCTGGTGAAACCGCACGAAAGTAGCTAGTTGCTTATAAAACAATTGAACATTGCGGTCGACATAAGTATATGAGTTTTATATTAGTGATACCCCTTTTTCAAATGAGGAAAGCACACTATAATTTTAAATGGCACGACTGATACTTACATTACTGTCAGCCACTATGCGTGGAATAACAGTACCTTTATAAGAGGCATCTTGTGAGACAATTATCAAAAGTCGTTACAAAATTTGGAGACTAAGATAATAATTTTAATGCGAGAATTAAGAAATGGTTTTAATGGCGCGAACCACAATGAATCAACGTGCAAGTTCGCAAGTTACGTGTGTTGGGTGTGCAACCGGCACCTGGGGCGTATTTGTCCTAATATAGTGAAACAATATCAGGTAGACGTATAAATCTCTAGCAGGGACGAGGAGGAGGACAATGTCGAGGTATTTTTTGTTGTGCCGTGTCATCGCTTGACACGTCACGCGGCGTCACAGCGGCGTCCTTCTCTGCTGATTCCATGCTGGAGGCAAGTTTATACGCCTTGGCAAAATCTTATTTCGACTCTGCGAATAGCCGTTGCCTTAATATTCTCGCTTGTTATTCCGCACACCAATTGATCTCTCAAACTTTGCTCTAGCCAACTTCCAAATTCAAGTTTCAAATCGCTGTCGTTAATCAGAAAGCCGCAAGCCTCAAGTGGAACTGGGCAGGTCATTTTATTTTTATCATTTTTTTTTCTAATGAAGAGGTAATAATGTAATTTTTAATAAGGTTTGAGTGATTATATTATTAGTGTAGAAGCAAACAAACATAATCAGAACTGCTAAGCTATTAGGAGTTACACGTGTTGTTGTGAGTCAACCTTTGTGGAGCGCCTACTGTTTTTTATAAAACAATATTATACTCAAGTGGTTAATGCTGCGAACGACTGCACGTTAGGCTTATGTGCAGTTAATTTTATTATATTTGTAACCTCATCAATCTGTTTTTTGTCTTGGTTCGGATTACACGCTATTAATTCTACTCGACTGCTTTAAATTATTTTACCACCTAGGAGTCTTAAACAACCTTAAAAGATAGACATATGTTGTTGTGAAATATTTATTAGATATTTTATGTAGAGCATTTCCCCCTTACACGATTTCTATGTAACTTTAACATTAAGGCTGCACACGCGACGGAAGCTTAAAAAATGGAGCAACTTCTTCCTTTTTCCAAACATTTACCTTCACTGCTCTGCTCCTTTTAATTGTAACATGACGAAAAGTATAGCATATAGCAGGCATCAGTATCGATCACTAATCACCCCCTGATAGTTATTTTGTAAAAATATTTCATGTACAGAATTGACCTCTTTACAGATTTATTTTATGTATAGATTGAATGAATGATTAATGTTTCTTTATTGTTATTTGAATTTTGCTTTTTATTATGTAATTACCTATATTGATTTATAATTTGGTAAATATGTTATTTAAAGTCATTTTTGTGCATGTGGTATTAACCTTTAATTATTTTTGTTAACCTTTCATTAACTTTACAAAAGTATAAGTGTGAACAATTGTTGGAAAAACTAAATCAAATACCTAGGTATATGGTCGAAGGAAATCTTTATGTTTCATAAAACTAAATGCAGATACACCATTCATGAATTATATTACTCTACTCACTAGTACACAGGAAACACGTAAACTTATGTGAGAGTACTGAATGTCTACGGTCAGCTGCTAACCTCGCCGTCTCTATGGACGCCAGGGCTGATCCATGTGAAGATTTTTATCAGGTAATAACTTCTCTATATAGTTCTAAAGTTAATGACTTTTATCGAGTAAAGGCCAAATTAATTATGCAGCTCTAACGCGAATATCGATTTTACCCGATTACCTTTTTACCCGATTCAAATCAATAATTTCAATTGTACCATTATACGCGCTTTTGAACGTCAAACTGGAACGTAACTTGACTGCAAGTGGTAACCATTTCACATTGCATCTGTATAAAGCTTGTTGTCAAATATGTAAAAGTTACGTACAACATAATAATTTTGTAGACTGCCAACGTCGCGTCGAGTTTATTTATTTATTCATTCATTAATGTACTCGTTCATCCATTCGTTCATTTATGAATTTATTCATCATTTTTTCATTCATATATGTATACATTCATTCAGTTATTTATTTATTTATTTATTTTTATTTTTATTCTTTTTATTTAGACACTATAAAAGTAATATCACAGATTTATCAAAAACGTTTAAAAAATCATTTTCCTAATTTCGGAGTTGTGTTAAAGTGTAGTTTTGTAACCACATCCGAAGAGCGTCAGAAATGTTAAGCCTGATTTTAGTTTAGTCAAAAGTCTAAATCATTCATATCGGTTAGACCATTATAAGCACTTTTGACTTTTGAACGTCAAACAAAGAATTTAAAATACATTTTTACGGTCACTCCTTTAATGAAGTTACTTGCTCGTTCCAAAGTGAAATCTATTCAAAGGTTCTCCATTATGTGTTATAAATTGGGCGAAAGTCCATTTTCAATGAGGGTTTGTAGAAAATTATCGGAAATTTAAAACACACAACGAGTCTTTTTAATATATTTTTTTACCAACAAAACAAACATTTCTGTAATTGAATTGTATAAATCTGTGTTACCTCCTAGTATACCTGCGGTAACTGGGCCTCCGACCACCCTCGACCTGACGCATACCAGTCCTACGACTGGTTCCAGGACAAGCAGCTCAAGGTATACTTCCTGGTGAGGGATTTCCTCAACAGAAACACCAGCCACCAGCCCAAAGCTGTACAGCAAGCTAAGGATATGTACAAGGGATGTATGGATACAGGTAAGGAGGATTAATAAAATAACATTTTTTATTAAACACGTTGTATAGGATTTTCTCCTGTGTCATGGGGGCGGTTACAAACATATAATTTTATCACACCCAGCCCCTGAATAACAATTTATGGATCACACATAAAGTTGTCCCGTACGGGAATTGAACGCGCGACGTCTTGCGCGGCAGACGATTGCCCAACCACCCCACCAGTGATTGGATAATTTTCCAACCATAAAACAATCATCTATTTTCAATAATTTTTTTTTTCTATTATTACTATCGCTTTTGATGTAGTACTAAAGACGAAAAATTTTATGAATCACAATCACAATAACTGTATTGTGATTCTACCGCAAATATTGTTTTTATGCAGTCATAATCCTGGTGTCGTCAAGCCTCAATTTAAATGCAAAGACGGCGTCACTTATTATTATAGCTTAAGAATTTCAGAATCGTCATATTATTTATTTACAGTATTCTAATTGCTATAAAATTAACAAAAATTAACAAAGAAAGATTGAAAGTAAATTCTAGTGTCCTTCGACCTAGTTTTAAGTTTGACTACCACTTACTAACAAATATTGACCGTTTCTATGTCGGACACGTCATTTTTTTTAAGTCTACAGCTTGAGATTCATTAATTTTAAATGTAAAATTCGTAATTCATTCGTCTTGTACGTACTCGTATGTCAATTAATCAATATTTTATTGGGACACAAACTACTTTGTAAAACACGTAGTTACTTTGTTAATTATACGTAATGAAAATTGAAATCAAAAACAGAATTTACAATGATTTATATTAGTACCTTCAAATTTCAATTAACTAACTTGCCTTACTGCTTTATTGGACGTAAGTAAAGAGTTTTCTGATTTAACACACTATTAATTTGCCAGTTGCTCTGATACAAATGAGGCCGTATTTTTAAATTAGAGTAGTAAGTGTGGGAGAGCCATGCTTCGGCACGAATGGGTCGGCTCGGCCGGAGTGATACCACGGCCTCACAGAAAACCGGCGTGAAACAACCACAACGTTGTGTTTCGCCGTGTGAGTGAGGTTACCGGAGGCCCAATCCATCCCCTACCCCAATCCCTTCCCAGTCCCAAAATCCCCAAAATCCCAATCCTTAAAAGGTCGGCAACGCACTGGTAACTCTTTCTTTGTTGCGGGTGTCCATGGGCGACGCCGATTGCTTACCATCAGGTAATCCGTTTGCTCGTTTGCCGTCCTATCACATAAAAAAAAAAAAAAGAGTATCACACATCACACAACATCAGTGCCTACTACTGAGATCTATAAGTGCCAAATACTGAGCAAAGGCCTGTTCTCACTTGGAGAAGATTTGAGCATTAATTACGAAGCTTGCTCAAGCCAGATTGGTGATTTCAAACTTATAATTAGAAATGATAAGTCCAGGTTTCTTCACGATGTTTTCCTTCGCCGCATCGCGGTGGTGTCTAAATAATCATAGGAACTACATATTACTCGGAAAACTCACGTTAGTAATTGCCAGGTTTCAAACCCGCAATCATGCATGAGAAGCAGATGGTTTGGAGAAAAGGCACCTGCCTTACCTCCAGACCACCACAACAAAGAGTTTAAATATGCAAAGATTAATTTATTTTGCAGAGACATTGGACCATCGTGGATTGAAACCAGTGATAGCTACACTGGAAACGCTTGGTCTACCTCCTTACCCAACTTATATCAAAGCCACAGACGTTGACTACTCTGCTTACACCTTCGACTGGTTGGACACTGTCATCAAAGTGAAGACTCAGATCGGCATGGACGTGCTGATAGGTTTTGACATCTTCACCGACCTCAAGAATTCCACTGTCTCCAAGCTGATGATGGGATCACCTGAAGTTACTAATCCTTTTCCAAGGTTATCTGACTAGCTGTGATTATTATTCTACTTTGCTTATTCGTCCAATGAATGAATTAAGTTGAGACATTAATCATTACTCATGCCAATAATTACACTTATTGCAGCACTTACAGAGAAAGACAACGCCACGGTAGAAGAACACTAAAGAATTTTATTGACTTCTTAGAATTGACGACAACTCGAGACATTATACATAAGATAGAACGTCAAAGTGACAAATCTGAAGATTTAGATGAGAAAATAGCTCCAATAGATAAATTATTCTATGCAGAGCTCATGAAAGTGTTCGTAGAAGGGTGTAAAACTAAAGATTCTAAACTGACAGAAGAACTAAATGAGAATGTAATTGCAGCAGCCAATGAGTACGTTGAGACTAACAGTGATATTTCTGAGGTAAGTTGGTTGAAAATGAACAATTTAAATGTAAAAGGATTATTTTATTATGTTACAAAATAAGGCGGCTTTCTGACCAACGTCTGCTAAACCAATTGTGAGATAAAATTCTTCACATTACTTATCACTATTCACAAATTAGTTCCTAACTAAATCTTAACTGATTATTATTCCATAATTATTTCAGTTAGAATTAAGTAATTCCTCAGAAATTGATGATAACGATGATCTGACTATACCAGAATACACTGTTGATGAAATACAAGCATACACTGATGCAGTCGTTGAAAACAATAATGGTACTGCAACACCGATATGGAAGAAGTATTTGAAAGGAGTATTCAATGTCAGCAATATAGTGCTGGACTTTGAAAAGGACAAGATTCTTGTGACCGATGAAGATTTGGAGTACATGTCGCTGATGGCCGCTTATGTGGATAAAACTCCACCTGTTATTTTAGAGCTTTATATCTGGGTAAAGGTAAGGAGACACCGGTCCTATCTTTTAAACAAGAAAGAGTATTCTTTAAGCCCAAGTTCTATGAAGAGCTTAATTATTCATCTTTATTCCTTAACCAAATTAAAATCACTCTGTATCAAACTGTTGTACGTGCCTCAAAATGATGCGTACCATTTATTTTCATCTTTAAATATACAAATGTAGTTAGCTTACATTTCTCCTTCAGGTGGTAGAAGTTATGTCAGTTCACACGACCACAGAGCTGCGCACTTTGTTCCAAACAGCGTACGACCAGACTCACGGTCACAAGTCTGTAACACCACGCAGCGTGCAGTGCGCCAACGCTGTCAACGACATGCTAGGCATGGCTGTGTCCTATGGTATTGCAGATCCACATTTCGTCAATGTTACAAAACCGAAGGTATAAACACAATTATATTTCTTAGATTTTATAAGTATGTGTTGACAGAAACAATAATTGTTTTATTAGCAATTATTGACTACTACTAGACTTGTTTTATGATTCTAAATCAATTTCTTTTTGTTAACAGATTATAACAATGATCGATGAACTAAAGGATTCACTAGCTCGCCTTATCAAGCAAGCAAAATGGATGGATGACAATACAAAGATAGCAACTTATCAGAAAATCATTGAAATGAAATCTCTCGTAGGATTCCCAGATTGGCTTTTAGAAGAAGGAAAACTAGATGAATATTATGGAGGAATAGACATTGACGCTAAGACACATTTAGAAAACATAATCAATATAAATCAAGTGAAGACGAGAAAAGTTCTGAATAAGTTCAGGGAACCAAACAATATTACTTGGGCCACTGATCCTACGGAAGTTAATGCGTATCATACGGTTCGAGAGAATACAATAAGTAATTTAAGTTTCCAACTTACTGGGGATATTTCATATATTCTTTTAATGTGAAAAGTGACAATACATATTTTTTTCTTTAAAATCTTTTTGGTTGGTTTACCAAAGAAAAAGATTTCTCTTATTCTTTACGGCAGCTTTTTTGTTTCCAATCTTTTCGGGTTTCATATGCATTCTTTTCAAATATCAATCAAAGTAATGAGCCGTTGGTTAGAAGAAACTTAACTAATGTTTAAATATTTCTTCCAGCTGTCCCTATGGTGATGTTACAATATCCTTTCTTTAATTTAGGACTCGAGTAAGTACTTCTCGTTACATAGTATTTTTGTATTTTTAGCCAGTTTCATAGATTTCCTATAAGCTTCAAATCATGTCTCTCAGAATATCAAGCACTTTCATCTGGTAGATGATTCATTTTCTTTTTTTTTCTCTCTTTTCAGCTCACTTAACTACGGATCCCTGGGAACGGTTCTTGGGCATGAAATAACCCATGGCTTCGATAGCGTTGGTAATATCTACATTTCGTTATATATTTTTATTTTAGATGATTTTTACACTCTAACCTAAAATAATCTTGAATGTGCAATGTGTAAGCATTTAATTGTTCCGTAGCTACTAAAGAAAGCATGTAAAATTCTTTCACGTCACTATTGGTAGCACATCAGCAACGTTGGATAGCAAAGTGAAATAAGTGTTTGATACGATTTTTTTAAATAACATGTTTATGGCCTAAATCGATAATTGATCACACCTTTGGTATTTTTGGTATCTAAAACTTAAACATATGTAGAGAGATTTGAAATAAGATCCCTTGTTGATTTCAGCCGTTAGTAATTAAATCTATAAAATTGCTATCTCTATCATTGCAGGCCGTCATTTCGATAAAAACGGCAATATGTTACCCTGGTGGTCCAACAGCACCATCGTTTCCTTCATTAACATGACACGCTGCTTCATCGACCAGTACTCCAAGTATTATCTGCCAGACTTAGACAAACATGTGAGTTTGTATAATTTATTCACTTAACTTATTTTAATAATTCAAAAAAAATATTAACTCTAATAATGGTCACTCTATCTGACACGATTTTCTTTTGAAATTTAAATGTGTAGGAGTTCTTCTAGGGTTCATTCTTGGATCATCTCTATTAAACAGAGATAATTCTTCCATTAAAAAAATTTAAAGACAGTCGTTTTCCTTACTTTACGTTCACTAAGTTTTATCGTTTACATTATAACCTCTTTTTGTCGAGATTCTGAAATAAATACTTTTCTAGGAATCATTAGATTAACAGGTAGCTAGCTCTAATATCTCTATAAGTGATACCTGTTTTCCCACATAGGTGGACGGTAAACAGACACTGGCAGAAAATATAGCTGATAACGGAGGACTGAGAGAAGCCTTGGCAGCTCTAAAGCATCATCTCAGAAAACGAGGACCGGAGCCGAAGCTACCAGGTTTCGAACATATGACACCTGAACAGCTATTCTTCTTGTCTTATGGTAATGTAAGTATCGCTGTTGATAAAACTAAAACGCGGGATTTTGTTATTCCGTTCGGCAATAAAACTTATGATAATAATATAATTAACGGTGTCCGTTTCATGCACGAAATTGAAACCTGACAAGGACAAATGTGACTTTCTTCTAGTTACGTGTATTTTCTAATGTCTCTCTTACAATTTTGAAGTCGCCAATCTTCCTTAAACTGTGATTAATGTTCTCCTACAAAACTTCTCCGTTTGAGAGGACATTGTTCTGAAGGAATGTGGTCGAAATAATATATAATTGTTTGTATAAGCTCAGATTTAAAAAGTTTATTTGTAGAACGACACAATACACGGCTCATTCCGAAATGGCAAGAGAGTGAAGTTCGCTGTCACATTTTATTGTTTTATTCTAAGAGGACAAGTCGCATTTATGGATCCTGTAAACATACATTCATGTTTGCGTTTACAAAGACATTCCAATATGTTCAGTAGTAGGCACTTAATGACTGTTTATGTATCATGTCTAAGATCTGGCATTTGTTTATTTCTTTTTATTCATTCGATGACGGAAAATACTAAAATCAGACACTTCGGTAATAGTGATCTATCTCAAGCAAGAAGATACTTTATAATTAGGTTCTAAGACTCACTTTCTGATTTCTAGCTATGGTGTGGAGTTTCAACGAAAGATGCTTTAAAGTCTGACCTGGAGGTCGCACATACTCCTTATCTGTTCAGAGCTCAGGGTGCTCTACAGAACAATGAGGAGTTTGCCAGAGCTTTTCATTGCCGACCAGGATCCAATATGAACCCGGGAAAACGATGCATCATATTTTGAAGGTAAACCTATGACTACTTTGATTAGTGATGCTCTAATTTTTTGACTTTATTATGAAGCAAATACTCCTAGTCACTGGATAAAACTTCTTCATGTTTCACAGGTAAAGCGCCATAAGGTACCGCGGCCTCGGCTTCTCGCAGGCCATTAATCTATCAGTGTTTTTAATCAACAAGAGTCACTGCCTCTCGCCATACCCTGACACAACATGATGATTTTCCGTCTTCAAAAAAATTTTACTTCATCATGTTGCTAGTAGTAGTTGTTGTAATTCTTAATTCGTCACCATCATTATCATTATCCTGATTCCGTCCACTGCCTCTCCTATATAATAATATATAAAATAATAAGTTCATTTGTTAGAATATTGTTGTTGTAAGATGTTATTACAATTTTATATCCAAAATTTTCCAGCGTACAAATATTTTCAAAAATTTAAATGAAATAAAATTAATTGTAACATAGGAAAACATTACCTGATATTAATATGAAGGAATTATTGCATACAATGTCAAAGCATAGTTATTACAATGTCAAGAGTTATTGAGTTTTTTTTTAAACTGGACACTTTTCTTTTCATTGCCGCAGTGGATAGGTCTAACTTCTATTCAAATAAGTTTGTTCTCTTGATTAAGGGTTTGATAGAAAGCCATTTACCCTATGTTTATTTGTGACGTCTTAATTACTGTGAATTATTAATAGATTTTTGTTTATTTGGTGTTTTTGCCTTGATTTTCATCGCCGTGTTTTCATTGCCGTGGTTTCCGTGGCCAAAATATGCTATGGAAATGAAAAAAAACATGGTGATGAAACAAAATTTCATTTCCATGCCTTTTATAACAATTCAGTTTCATTGCCATGACCAGTTGTTTCATTTCCGTGACTTATGTTTTCATCGCCACGGCATGATCAAGAAAAAAAACCCAAACTGTTCAGACAACTAGATACAAATAAATATTTATAATAATATAATGGATTTTTAATTTTATGAAAGCCAAGTAGCCATAGCCTAAAGTTTCCGAAGAGGAAAGAAAAGAAAGAAAAAGATTAGCTGAACAAAAGCGGCGTGAAAATTAAGTAGTGACCCTGTTTTGCGAGAAGAGTACCTATTTAAGATGTGTATTATTTAGTATTTAAGATATGTCAAAAAAAAGGCTGCAGTAGTTAGTTTAAGTAGTTAGTTTAAGTAGTAGTAGTTAGTTTAAGTAGTTGTTCCTCGAAGTGCAATGACTTCGCAAAAGCTTCGGGCACTTCGAATGAAAAACCTGGTTAGACAAGGTCTGCGTTAAGAGTAACGCATTTTGAAAATGCATATTACTTGTTACAGTGGATGGATGAATGTGGAATGGATGTTAACGCTTAAATTGATCATTAATTTATATTGGAATTTACATGTACCTATTTTATTAGAAATATTTTATTTTTAAAATTATTGTAGGTACTTACCTATGTAATGTATATTATATATCGTTACTTATGTAATGAATGTAATGACAACTTATGGTACAAAGCACTTTCGTTTTATAGTATAACTTACGATTTGGTGTGTTCAAATTCTTACATAATTACCAACTTACATTGTGATAAATAAGCTGTCTATCGAAATAAAGTATTGTAATGTTTTATATTAAATGTGTGTACCATAGATTATAATGATAACTTATGGTATAAAATACTTTTTAAGCCTGATCTCTCCTTCGTGGCGAATATAAGTTTAAGTTTATAAACCAGTAATATTTGAACGCACAATATTTTGACTAGTCAATGCACTTTCATTTTACAGTTAACTTACGATTTGGTGTGTTCAAACTGTTACATAATTACCAACTTACATTGTGATAAATAAGCTGTCTATCGAAATAAAGTATTGTGATGTTTTATATTAAATGTGTATGTGTTAACATAATCTGCATTTTTCATTACTTTCCATGTAATCAATAAAACGAACACGAAAGACTGGTAAAATAACTTTAATTACAAAGATATAATGCACTGTATACACCTGATTATAACTGATTAGTGGTGACCAATGCTGTTGTACGAAATTGTCTTGGAGAAACCTCCTCCGTAGCCCGATGAGATACCATAACCACTGCCATATCCAATGCCATAGCCACTACCGTATCCGCTGCCATAGCCCCCAGAAATGCCAATACCACTCGAAATCCCACCAAGGCCGATAGAACCAGCACCTAGGGCCACGGAAGATAGAGATGATGCCACGGGGACTGTAGAGACAGCTTGCACAGCAGCTACTGCTGGTACGGAGACTCTTCTCTCAACTACTACCGGCTGAGGCACAGGTACGGGTCTATCCACAACCACAGGTTGGGGAACAGGCACAGGCCTGTCGACGTGCACGGGAACCTGGACGGGCACAGGCCGGTCTACGTACACAGGGTGTGGCACTGGCACTTGGCGGTCAACGTACACCGGCCTGTCGACTGGCACTTGCTTTTCCACAGTCACAGGATACGGGACTGGCACATTCACGGGAACCTTCACAGGGTATGGCACTTTCCTCTCATAGTACACAGGCACCTGCCTTGTGACCTCCACTGGGACTTTCTGCACGACTGGGTAAGGTACAGGCCTAACCACAGTCACAGGCACAGGGACCCTCACAGGGACGGGAACTTGACGGTCCACAGGGACTGGCACGGGTACTTGTACCGGCACCTGGACGTCGCGCGTGATGGTCCTGGTGATGTAACGTGGTACTTCTTGACGAAGAATTACAGGGTTGGGCTCTATGTTAACTGATGTTTGCACTGCTGGAGCAACTGCCACGGGAGCTGCTGCCACCGGGGCGACTGCTACTGGTGCTGCTGCAACAGATGCGACGGCCGGTCCTGTAGCGATTCCTCCTCCCACGCCGCCACCCAGACCAATTCCACCGATTCCACCACCAAAGCCTCCAGAGGATATTCCAATACCAGCTCCAGAATATCCGATCGAGTGTCCCAGACTAATTCCTGGGGACGAGAATCCAACAGAGTGACCGCCGCCAAACGACGGAATGTGTCTCTTCACGCCCTTGTCAGAAACGGCCTCATTCTTGATTCCTTCAGTGGCAAGAAGTTTGGACACTTTAGACTTTTCTGATACTTCTTTTGATGTTGAAAAACTGCTAGCTGAGAGCAGCACCTGAAATTAAACACAGGAGGTCATTGTGAGGGAATGAACATTACCTATGTTAAACTGAGATTTTTTTTCAGGTTTTTTAAGATTACCTACAATTTCAAGTAAACGCTATAGAACTGTAATTGAGATAAAAATAAAAAAAGAAAGCACACCTCGAAATATCAATATCCTTAGTTTTAACAAAATATAATACGAATAAATACACAAGTATCAGACATGTGGCAGGTTTGTACCAGTTCTGCGCAGGCGCCGTATGAACGGGAGCGAGGCGAGCGGGCCTGACCTCACGGAACCAAACAGGTGATTGCTCTGACCCTCTATACTATGTGTTAGCACTAAACTGGATTTATTTATTTAGACCTGTTGGTTGACTGCGAACCGTTTCTGATAAAAGTTCCTAAATCTATTTAAAAGTGTCATTAATAAAATACATCAAATCTCATTTAGACACCCCTGACATATGGTGAAGGAAAACATCGTGAGGAAACCTAGACTTATAATTTCTAATTACAAGTTTGAAATCGCCAACCCGCATTGAGCAAGCGCGGTGGTTAATGCTCTAACTTTCTCCGTATGACAAGAGGCCTTTGCTCAGCAGCGGGCACGTATAGTAGGCTGATGATGATGATGAACAAACGGTGAAGGAAAAAATCGTGAGGAAACCAGGACTTGTAATTTCTAATTAGAAGTTTGAAATCACCAATTTGCCTTGAGAATGCGTGGTACGATGGCATTCGCCAATGATACTGTCAATGAAATCCATATCAAAATGCGTTGCCGGCCTTTCGAGGATTATGGATTTGGAGATTTCGGGATTGGGGTAGGGAAAGGATTCGGCCTCCAATAACCTCATTCACTCTGTGGAACGCAACGCTGTGGTTGTTTCACGCCGGTTTTCTGTGAGGCCGTGGTATTACTCCGGATGAGCAGACCCATTCGTGCCGAACCAAAAAACTTTTCTTTAACTTGATTCTACAAGTAAAGTCGCAGTCTAAACTAATTCAACTCGTGCCTGCAATGCACACTTTGACAACGTAATTCCAATCATAGATATAATATTTAGGCTAAGCCATGCTACATTCAATTTAACTGAACGGAAAGTGGTTTATTTGAGAAACTAATTATCACATTATCTTTGTTAAATTATTGGCCAACCATCAGCGACCCGGCCCGTTGCAATGCTGGCTACATGTCTCCTCACTACCAGTACTCGATTAATGTAATTATACATATAAAGCTTCCTCTTTAATCACTATATCTATTAAGAAAAACCGCATCAAAATTCATTACGTAGTTTTGAAGCTTTAAGCATATATAGGGACAGAGAAAGCCATATAGGCATTAGTACGCAAAGTACGACCTAATTTATAAAAGTTTATGCTTGTTAAAACTTTTGTTAAAAAAAAAGAAAATCTGATATATGGTTTCTATTCTATTGTTTTTGAATCGATATTCAAGTATTCAGAATCGTTAAAAGAGGTTTGACTACATAGTTGGCGCAGTGGCCCGACAGCAGGCTGCTGCGCAACGTATCTTGGGGTCGATTCCCGCATAGATCAAATCTTTATGGGATCCCCAAAATGTTTGTTTCGGGTTGAACGCACATACCCAAAGAACAGGAAATAATTCATAAATGGGAACACATTTGAATTCCTCTAAATAAAGAAAATGGTTATACCACTGTCTATCGACTTATTTGGGGATTACACTTTATAAGGAATAATTAGGTTTTTCGGAGCTGGTACCCTTTCTCTACCAGGTAACTTAACTCGTGGAAAAAGTCATCAAAGGAAAAAGGATCATTGGTAAATATTTCTCGAGTTCTTAAAAAAAATATAACCATTTAGCTTAATCTAATTTATACCTTGAAGTTATGTAGTGGGTACCTACGTATATGTATGTGTGTCTATATCATACATATGTAGTTCACTAGGTGGTAATCTAGCCAAGGGGCCAAGGTTAGGTCGAAGGTCGGCTGTAGCATACCATATGAGCTACTTCCAGTCTTGGTCTAGATTTATAATCACCAGTTGGAACAGGACTAACCCTAATTATCATTTTAGTTACATATTTTATTTTATTATCTAAATTATTCGATATTAAGTTTCCAAGGTTTGTGAAAAATTATTATTTTGAGCATATGAGAAGTTTTTTTGTTTCCGAGTACTGTAGAAAGAAAAACATGTTTGTTCTGTATTCTGAGGTATATAATAATTATATAAACAAAGGATTATTTGTATTATTTTATAAAGTTGTTAACAGTTCACCTGAAGACATCTACATACTAGCGAGTACGGGAAACAACCTATTATTTTTTCAAAGACTTGGTATTTTCTCCTATGTCGTACAAACATAAATTTTCACATAGGTACACATCACATACAGACCCGAAAAATAACCCACACAAATAGTTATTATGTCACGATAATCGAATCTGCGATACGCGGTAGGCCTACAGCAGTGTGATTCTGTAAGACTTCATTCTAAACTTCGAATCTGAATCCGCCGTGAGTAGTCGTACACTAGCGCTACACTTGCGAGTTGAACTAAATTGACACAACATTTTGATAGATAAAGTATGAGATGACGTTAAAAGTGGCATTTCCTCGTCACTTCGACGCTCACTTCGCACTCGAACATGATTCAAAATCAAACAAATTTTATAGAATCGACGTGCAGGACTCGAAATATTTTATATGATAGGCCACGTTTCTTTTATTTTCTGAGAAAAAATGTTTAATTTAATATTATTACATTTTAAACTTGAATAGACGTATTGTTAATTGCATTTATTTTTTTGCTTAGTAAAATAATAACCTAATAACAAATACTTTCCGGGTATCGGGTGCAAGGGCCGGAGTAAAAGAAGGAACAGAGTTATTTTTGTACAGAGTCTGACATTTCCTCGTACCTCATTCTAAGTCAAGTAAGTTACCCATAATAAGTGATTTACAGCTAAAAAAAATTACTTTGGCTGATTTCAAAATTGTGTTCAGTACTAAATAGTAAACTATAGCTACTCTCGCGCGGTTTCACCCGCTGCTCCTACAAATCGTAGCGTGATGTTTTATATCCTATAGTCTTCCTCGATTAATGGACTACCTAACAAACAAGAAAAGAATTGTTCAATTTGAACCAGTCGTTCCAAACATTAGCGAGTTCAAACAAACAAACTATTTAGCTTAGGTATAATATTTGTATAGATAATAGATATTTTTGCAGGAGCTTATTTTCAAAAGTCAGATAAATGTAATACAAACATTCTGGCGCGACAGCATCATAATAATTATTCCCCAGATAACTTTTATCTAACTACTGAAAAATCAGCCCTAAATTGTAAAACAATTAATTGAGATTTGTACCTTGTAAGTCATCTCAAAACATTAATTAAAATAATACTGAAAATTATTTAATAGTACAACTTTAAATACTTGTGTCCTTAACAGTACCATATAAATTTGCATAGGTCTTGGCTAATGCCGGATTTAAGGGCTTACGCTATATACCTACGCTTGATTTATCAAGAAATGGAGTAGGCTGTTCATTTTGCAACACTTATTATTATTAATCCAATTCAATTTTGATTGATGATTTTAAATTAGGAAAATTAAAAATCGAACTATGTTTAGAGTGCCTACCATGACGTGTTAAAGCGTCAATCTTCCGGGCGAGAAAGAGGGATGGAGCTATGCACCTTTTATAGCACCGTCCCTTTTTCCCGCCCACAATTTTCAAGTCAAAGTCAAAGTCAAAAATCATTTATTTCAATTAGACCACAGTAGGCACTTTTGAACGTCAAGCAAGCAAAAAAGGCAAAAAAGTATATATAACAAGAGCTTTAAAATTAAGCGTGTCAGTCTGTCCGTCTGTCCTCTAGTGAAGCTATTTGCTCGTTCCAAAGTGTAGATTCCTATGGAGAAGAACGAGCAAGAAACTCCATGGTTACTCTTTTTCAATCAGTTTTACAATACATTTCTTTGTTACATCATTTAGTCGGTTCTGATATGTGAGAACAATGTAACACTAATGTTCAGGCAAAAAGTACGAAAAAGAAGTGAACCTCAAGGACAACATATTTAGACAGCCTGGAGATGACCAGTCCCAATAGGCGGCGCCCGTTCACGAACATGACACGTACACCAGCACCGCCCAACTCAACCATATTATAGGGAATTGGACGATCCAGTGCCCGTGCCACCGCCAATGAGACCTCTGAGTGAGCATGACAGCTCCCAGCCGACACAAGTACCTATATTCTACAAGTCTTACTTAATTATAATAGGTTACAGGGCACTCACATTTACAAAATCTTAGAAGTTCATCAACAATTAACAACATAGTGTACAATTGAATAATTAAAAAAAAAAAATAATACTCTAAACATCCTGTGGAGTAGGACCAGCTAGCCTCCAAGCATTTTTATCTTGTATATAATCATTTAGTTTGTAGTATGCTAGTTTACATAAATGTTTCTTTATACATAATTTAAATTTGCTTTCATTTAAATTTTGAATTTCAACTGGGATTTTATTATAACATTTAACACAGAAACCCAGGAATGACTTATGCACTTTTGCCAATCTAAATAAAGGCTGACTCAATCTATTCCTATGTCTAGTATGATAATCATGTTTGTCAGATACCTTTACAAATAAGTGTAGGTTTTTCCTAACATACATAATGTTTTCATAAATAAATTGACTCGGTACGGTCAGAATGTTGATCTCTTTAAACTTTTCTCTGAGAGATTCGCGACGACCTAAGTTATATATAGCTCTGACGGCACGCTTTTGCAAGATAAAGATAGACTCAACGTCAGATGCCTGTCCCCACAACAGAATTCCATACGACATGATGCTGTGAAAGTAGCTAAAGTACACTAGTCTTGCCGTGCCGACATCGGTTAGCTGACGGATCTTCCAGACAGCATAAGCTGCAGAGCTCAATCGTCCTGCTAGAGACCTGATGTGGGGCCCCCATTGCAACTTCTCATCTACAGTGATCCCCAGGAAAGTAGTCTCTTTTACAAATTCTAGTTTCTGATCATTTAATAATATATCATCACATACGTTATTTTTAACATTTGGTAAAATAAATCTAATGCATTTAGTCTTTTTATCATTTAGTAATAAGTTGTTTATTGTAAACCAATTTTGAACCTTCATTAAGGCATTATTAACTTCGTCATATTTGTTTGTTCGTCTATTTATTTTAAAAATCAATGAAGTGTCATCAGCGAATAATACCATATGCGGTTCATTTTGGAACATATGGGGCAGGTCATTTACATAAACTAAAAATAGAAAAGGACCTAATATTGAGCCCTGCGGTACGCCCATAGATACGCTAGCACCCAGTGAGTTAACTTTGTTGACTTGTACTTTAATTTTTCTTTCTTGAAGGTATGATTTCAATAAATCTAGGGATACCCCCCGAATGCCGTAGTGTTCTAGCTTCAGTAACAGCGTCTCGTGCTCAACACAGTCGAATGCCTTTGAAAGGTCGCAAAATATTCCGATGGCATCCTGTGCTTTTTCCCACGAGTTGAGAACTTGTTTTATAAGTGATACTCCTGCGTCCGTAGTGCAACGTCCTTTGGTGAACCCGTATTGATGGTCATGGAAAATACAATTCGTGTTAAAGTGACGCAGCATTTGAGTAAGCATCAACCTTTCGAACACTTTACTGAGCACTGGCAAAATAGAGACCGGCCTATAGTTATTAGGTTCTGTACTATCACCTGATTTAAATAATGGAACTACTTTACTATGTTTCATTAAATCCGGGAAAACCCCTTGATCTACACTTTTATTAAAAATGAAAGTTAAGTGCGGCGCAATTGTCTCTATAAACGACCTGCACACTCGAACAGACATTCCCCAAAGATCTTCAGTTGACTTTACTTTGATCTCATTGAACGCCTTTATTACTGCCTGGGGGGTTGTGTATTGAAAGCTAAAGTCAGAAGGACATTCTTTGACGTTACCCCTGAGAAGCTCGACAGAAAGTGCTGGAGATGATTTTAACGTTTCCGTAGTTTTAAGAGGAATATTTTTAAAGAATCTTTCGAATTCCTGGGCAACTGACGAATTTGAACTAGTATATCCCTTTTCGGTTTTTAAATTAAATTCAGTGTTTTGTGATTTATTTCTACCTGTTTCTTTATTAATTATATTCCAGGTAGCTTTTATTTTGTTTTCCGCGGTCCTGATTTTATTACTAATGTGGAGCGACTTAGCATGCTTACATACTATTTTAAATATTTTTGAATATTTGGAAACATGTCTGCGAAAAGCCTCGCTACTATTAAATGGTTTCAGGCCGTATAGCTCAAATAACCTGTCTCTACTTATACGAATACCTGGTGTAGCCCAGTCACAGAATACAAATTTACACTGAACATTTTTACGTTTTAAAGGAAATGACACTGGCAGTACCATTCTTAAAAATTTTGGAGAACAAAAGACTTAAAAGTCGTGTTTCAAAACGAATGGGCCGGCTCGACTGTCACTTGGATTATGTTTCGCCTCCTGTCTTCCCTGGGACATTGCGCTTACCCCTAATCTCCCGATATCCCTAATCCCAAAAATAAACGCACCTGCAACTCGGACAGGGGCGGATCTACCTAAGGAGTTTTTTGAGCTGTAGTCCAGTGCCCTCATCAAAAACAAAATGCGATAACAATTTACATCATGAACAACAACCGTAATGGACCACGAAATTTATAAAATAGCGAAGGTTTAATTGGCCCCTAAATAGCTGTAGCCTAGGGCCCCACAAATTCACAATCCGACCCTGCTCACGAAGCATTTACCAACGTGTAAAAACAATAAACAATTAAACACACTTTATAATAACTAATTAGGAAGTATAATTATGCAAGAAAATTTACTTACATTACAGCTACATATTACGTATAAACAATAATGAATACAAATTAAACAATTCTTACTTAACTTCAGTAAGCAGGGTTACGTTTGGATGATGTTTTATAAAAAGCGTATGAGCCCGCCTGATTTACCGTGCGATGCATTAAGACGTAACCGATAGTGCGTATACTATGTATTCATTGGTCGTTATTCCTAATTAATTATCGCCATGTAACCTGTGATGTCTGTGTTCCTTATCTTTTCCTCCATCATGATATAAGAATGCTGAACTTAAAGAGGAACAAGGAAAAGGAGCAATGGTTGTTTAATAGTTTAAAAGGATTAGTTACTACTTTATCAATCCTTTAAAGCCGGTCGTATCAATTGTTTATTTAAACTAATGCATGATACACATGGGATATTTCTAAATATAGTGGGTTATTGTTTTTCAAAAATCATATAATTAAATAACTCATTTAATAAAAAAAACATTGCTAAAGCTTCGATAACAAAAGGATGGACCCTGTCGTTGAAAATAATTGGGTAGTTTCCTAGGTCAAAAATAAATTAATTAGACGTTTTAATACGATAAAATATTGAAAAATAACTATACTTTTATTCATCGATCGATCGATACACTAAGTTTTAGATATTTTTTAGCTAATTTTTTAAAAATAAGTAAGCTATTTGACGCAAAAATGCTATGACGTCATAATTCAATGTTCCATACAATTTTCATAGAAAAGTATCGTTTTTGACATTTGGATAAAAGTATTGAATTTGACTAGTTGGAAACTACCGTATTATAATTAGATAAGTAGGTATCCTATTTATAGATTTTTTTTTAAATAAAAAACATACAAATGTGAAAGGAGACCAAAATGTTTAAACAAATTACCTAAATCAATTGAAAAAAAAATATTCTTAAAAAGTTTCAGAACCAATAAAAAGAAAAAATATTTCCATAAATCGAAAAAAAGTAAAAAAAGAAATTCAAAATAAATTGAACAAAATCGAATTACATCAGCTTTGCAACCTGATGCAATATTAGCAGTCTAAGTCACTGGGTACCTAGTTGTTAGGTTCAGTGACCACCTTTCGAAGGACCACCTCAGTAGCTGACGGAAACGCCAAATCTAATAAACATGTCCCATGTGGGACTATCTGGTTAAAGGATGTTAAGTAACATGGGCCTGTAAGAAAACCACATCAGGTCATACATACATGAATAACTAAGTGACTATGGTCCTTAATGGATCTTGTCGTGTTTAATTAATTTTTTAGGCGTTAGATCGACTTTATTTTATGTAACACACGTATGCCATGTTAATGCCCATTTCTGATGGATTTAACATAACTATCGAGCACATGTAAGAAACTTTTAAAAAAGGAACGGTTTAGTTTTCTTGTCTATGCTAAGCTATATATTGGAACGAGCTTCCAATTTCATCATCAGAATAACTTTTACATTTCCATATTATTCTTTGATTATTTTACGAAAAAGAAATTACGATTACGATAAGTACTAGATAGTAGTTTCGTTAAAGAACTTACTAGAAGACTAGCAGACGATTATATTTTGTGTGTAAAGTGTCTGTGGTTCACCAAGAAACCAAAAATAAAAATTATTGGCATGTATGGTAATTAAACAAGGCGACGAGACCAGAGTTACAAACGATTTTTTGTATAGGTATGAGGAATTTGATCACAATGAACTGAGCACATTATTTCGTCTACGGATTTTTATCCCTACGATATTTCGTAAGACATAAATTTAAATAATGTCACCCTTTTTTAATAAAAAAATAAATAAAAATAACAATAAATAATAAACTATGCAACTAGCTAATTGACTTGGGACCTGCTTCGACTTCATACAAGATTTGTATATGACACATAGTTCATACGGATGTCGTTCTATTTTCAAACTTATCTGGCTATGTAAGCGCCTATGCAAATATTGTGACACAGTTACTTGGTATTTAATTAATTGGTTATATATCCTAGTATTTTTTAACCATGGTTATCCAAACTTATATTATAAATGCGAAAGTAACTCTGTCTGTCTCTTCTTCACGCCTAAACTACTGAAACGATTTCTGTGAAATTTGGTACAGACATAGTTTGGAAGTCGAGAAAGGAAATAGGATAGTGTTTATATCAAAAATCTGCTGGAAGTCACTATTTCACGCGAACGGAAACGCGGGCAAAAGCTAGTGTGAAATATAGTAAATGTATCTACACATTAATATCTAAATATAATATACGTATAAATTATTGAGCTTGATTTGCA